GAAGCTGCATACTTCCTTGCTTATGATACACATCTAATTACCAGCAGCTAATTTTTGGAAAAAAGGGGTGTGTTGTATGTGAGACAGTGTGGTTTTTGTCATTTCTAAAACGAATGATCTGGGGCTTAGCTGTGCCATATTTCTAAAGTAGAGCTGAGGTGCTGCTTGCTAGGACTAGGTCTGCGTCTAACCTGGCAGGTGCTGCTGACTGCTCATCCAGCTCAGGTCAAGAAGAGAAGAGAGCCAGGCATTTGGGCTCAGCCAGCAATACCTGCAGCATCCTACAGCTAGAGGGTTAGCAGAGCAGCCACAATGTTTGCTGACTTTATTTTTCCTGGGAAAATACCATACTTACCACTATTTTCATGATAAGATCTTTTGTTCTTCATTGTGCCCTTCAAAAACAAGGTGCGTGTTTTATTCAGGGTCATGTTGTATAAAATAAATATGATAATGCAATAGCTCAGGAGCCGGTGATCACCCTTTAATAACCGAGTTAGACACAAAATATGCTCAACATCTTTTACTGCATGTTTAGGGCACTGCGTGTTCGTAAGAAGATGTCTGGAGAGAAGATGCCAGTGAAAATGATTGGTGACATACTAACGGCACAGCTACCACACATGCAACCTTACATTCGATTCTGTAGTTGCCAGCTTAATGGAGCTGCACTCATCCAGCAGAAAACAGATGAAGTCCCAGAGTTCAAGGAATTTGTTAAAGTAAGACACAAAGGAACACCATTGAATTTTGTACCTAGAAAGCTTGTCTAACTTTTACTGGTTACAAAATGGTGCCATGCTACAGACCTTTAGACTTGATTCAATGGTTCTCAACCTTTTTAGATTCAAGGTACCCTGCTCTGTAACTTTTCTGAATTTAGTGGCACCCTGGTTGAGAACCACAGTTGCACTGCCTCAGCCTACCTCAGTGGTTCTCAGCCACGAGTCAGGCCACCAACACCATGGCTAAGTGAAAGTGCTTCATGCCTCGTGTCATGCAGAGCCTGACCAGGAAGCAGCTATGGCAGGAGCAGTTGCTTCTGCCACTGCCCTTCCCAGTCTGTCCTTGCACCTTCCTCTTGAAAACAGAGGCACACAGAACAACTCCACCTGGGAGCGGTGTGGCAACCCAGAGATTTATCTGTGTTTCTTTGTGTTTCTCTAGGTTGCCACACCACTACTACCACTGCCAAGTGGAACTGTCCCACGTGTCTGTTTTTAGGAGCCTGAAGGGCCAAACTGGGCCATGGCTGTGGAAGGAACCTACCTAATAACCTAATGCAGGCAGGAGCACCCGCTCTTGTTGCAGCCACTTTCCAGTCGGGCTCCACACAAGGCACACAGGGCAGTTTCATCTAGTTGCAGCAACAATGCTGGCACCGCGGCATCCTTGAAAGGGTCTTGTGGCACCCTGGTTGAGAACCACTGACTGGAATGCACATTAAGGAGATCAGTTAATTGAAAGAATCAAAAAAATAAAGATTATTTTTGTTGTTTTACTTGTTGTGGTAGTTTTCCAGCAACACACTGAGGCTGTAGACAAATGCATAGTACGAAATGGTCCCTGCCCTGAATGGGCAAGACAGCTAGAGGGGAGGAGAAACACAGGCATAGTGAGGTAAGTTGGGTTGCCCATGGTTATGTATCAGCTGAGCAGTAGAACTGTGATTAAAATCTAGGCCTGTGACTCTCAGCGTATTGCTTATTCATAGTTCTCTGAAACTGTGAAAATGCCTACTCATAGAGAGAGGATATTGTAATGGTTTCTTTTCAACCCTGTGTTTAAATAATCTGATCATTTCCCTCCCATGACATCTTTCAAACTTCAATCATTTTAATATTCACACAGTTAGAGTTTCAGAAGGGGCCTGCAAGGCCCGATCTTTGGGAAATGTCATGTTACTCTTACCTCTAATATGCTTTACTATGTTTTGTAAATATGTAAGAAATTATTTTGCTCTGATTTTATGTGTCAGACATCTTGTCCTGGCCAAGAACAGGTTTAGCTGAAGCATGCTATTAATTATTTTGTCACTACCTTTTTATATGTTACCTTCTTAAAGGAACCTTTTTTACAAGGTTTTAAACAAGCTGACTAACACAATTTTACCTCTCTAATATTTCAGAGGTTAGCAATGGATCCGCGCTGTAAAGGAATGCCACTGTCAAGTTTTCTACTAAAGCCTATGCAACGGGTAACAAGATACCCACTAATAATTAAAAATGTACGTTCCTTTGCAATATGCTGAAATCTGTTTTCAGTGCTTCTTGGCTTTTAACTTATTTATAGCTTATGTATGTACGCCTTGTCTTGCCATTATCAAGATGCTGGAGACATCTACTATGATGGAGAATACAAGGCAGAAATTTTACCTCCGCTATACTGGTGTAAATCACGAATAATTCAGTTGACTGCAGTGGAGTTATTCTGGATTTACATTACAAATGAGAATAAGTTGTATGCTAAGGAACAGGAAGCAGTAAAAGTTGGGGACAAAGTGTAAACATAGGAGATGGAAGAAAATTAATGATTTTTCCTACACTCTCCTATTAGAATTTCCTGTTTTATATGCCCTTCCCTCTCCCTTGGCTTGTGAATCTATATTCATTTTACATTCAGTACAAATTCTATTTCTATACAACTTACACTCATTTTCTAACTTACAGCTGATGTCTAACTCTTATCACCATTTACATTACTAGTAAATTTGGCCCACAGCTTCTCTAGGAGAAAGACTGGTTAAAAATATCTAATTTTGCTCTTGGCTGTCAAAGATTCCTTTATCAGCCCTGGCATACCTCTGTATTGAACCAGAGCTTACCTCTTAAGACAGAAGAGTGAAGATAAAAGAGGAATCTTTGGCCTGGAAGCCATCAAAAAATCATTGCCCAGTGTTTTGTCTGTTGTGCATGTAAACTGCTAAGAACATAAGCAGTGCCAGACTGGGTCAGATCAGTGATCCATCTAGCCTAGTATCCTGTCTGCTACAGTGACAATAGTACATGTTTTAAAAAGAGAGCATATGAACAGGGCATATCTAGAGTGATCCAGCCCCTGTCATACCCTACCTGACATCTGCTCAAGTGTTTCACCACTTAGAACCTGAGTTCATCTCCTGCGTTGACATCTGAACAGAAAATTGTCATGACATTTGAAATTTTGGAACATTCTGCCCAGTTAAGAAATAAAATAAAATAAAATACAGAGCTGATAAGATAGGTAGATTTCTAGCCATCAGGACCAGAAAAGAATTAAATTGTTTTACTTATTTGTAGATCATCGAAAACACTCCTGAAAATCACCCTGACCACAGTCACCTGAAGCATGCTTTGGAAAAAGCTGAGGAATTGTGCTCCCAAGTAAACGAAGGAGTGCGTGAGAAGGAAAATTCAGACAGGCTGGAATGGATCCAGGCTCATGTTCAATGTGAAGGTCTATCTGAGGTAAACATTGTCCTGTGTATTCACAGACGTAACGGGAGCATGCTTGCTTCCCAACTGGGAAGAAACAGAAGTTGGATCACGCTGCTGCATCCAAAGAGAAAAAGAATATTACCAAGTCGCATAATTTTTCATGATTTTTTACCTCCTTGCATTGGGCATCTCTTTCACTCATATACATTATCCTTTTAGCTGCTGCTTTTGTCCTTTTCTATTTGGCAAATAGTGCTTTCTTTCCTTGTATTTGGAATGTTTCCAAATGTAATCCTTCAATTTTTTTTGGAACCACAATTTCAATTTCTACTGTTCTTAACTGTGCTGTAGTACTACTGCTGCTATCTGTATACTGCCTTTAAGGGGCTCAGTGACAGAAGAGTCAAAATGCCTTGCTGTCACACCAGAGATGTGAGTTTGATCTTTGCCCTAGATTTGTGCCAAAGGCTGCCACATTCTGCCAGCCCCAGCCCTTTGTTCCACATTCCCACCCAGCTGCAGCTTCCTAGTAGCAGCAGTAGCCCCACCTGGAAGCTGTGTGTGCTGGCCAGGGCCAGAGCCCTCCCATGAAGGAGGGTGGGAGCGAATCACGTGGGCTGGGCCAGGGTACAATTAATTGGTGGGCACCCATGGGTTGGATGAAATTGCCTGGTGGGCCGAATCTGGATTGCTGGCTGTATTTTGCCTGCCCCTGGCCTAAAAGGTACACAGGACCAAAAGGAAGATCTAAGAGCAAACCGGTAATACTTTGCACTTCATATACAAATGCCCTCCAGCCCTACCTCAGCCACAGACCAGCAGATACCCTGTTAACCCTGTACAAAAGAAAGAAACTGTGGTTATCTAGAAACTCCTGAGTATGGACTAATGGTGAAATGCAGACATTAAGAGCAAAATGACATGTTAACTTGTATGACCACTCTGCAGATGGATCAGCCTGTTGACATGCCATTTCTGCATTGAAAGTACCAGTCCACAACAAGCCATCCACTCCATCCTCTTCCACACACAAATATATGAGTACATTGCTGGGAATATCTAACATAGGTGCAAGTGTTTTTGTCTTTCCTCCTATCATCAAGGACTTGCCCAGTCTGAAAGGGCCCTGAACCCAGTTAGTTGTTTTTCTCTTACCTTTCTATGCAGCTAGTCCTGTGCGAGGTTAAGATGTGACCCATCGTCCCTGTGACATGAATCAAGGCAAATATCAGTACTCAACTTTATATTTGACTTTCTTCAAAGGAGCCTTAATGGATTTACTTAATACATTACAGCTTTGTTATTGTTCTTCTTTTCTTAGCAACTTGTATTTAATTCAGTTACCAACTGCTTGGGACCACGCAAATTTTTGCACAGCGGGAAACTCTACAAAGCCAAGAGCAACAAGGAGCTGTATGGTTTTCTGTTCAATGATTTCCTCCTGCTGACTCAGATCATAAAGCCCCTTGGCTCTTCTGGTACCGACAAGGTCTTCAGCCCCAAGTCTAATCTGCAATATAAAATGTACAAAACTGTAAGTATCACTCTCATACAGTAACAAAGCTGTTGGTCTTATAAGAGGCAGTTTCCCATTTGGTTGTGTGACCATTAGTATTCTCTGTTGCTGCATCAGAAAGAAAGACACTCCAGAGTGCACTCAGAACCCCTGCTCCATGGGGATGATGATGAACAAACAGGTTGCAGTCTTCATTTGCAGAAGGGCGAAGCATTCCCTTCATCTGATTCTGGACAGCTGTAATGACATCCTGGAGAGTGGTCATGTAGTCCAGCTACAAAAAGAGAGGGATGATGCAGAGGGCAATATACTCTGCTCCTTTTGGGAAGAAAAAACCTTGGAATGGTCTCTGTAAAGATGGCTTTTGAGATGAGAAGAAGCATTCACAGATCTGAGGGGACCTGCATCTCTAAGGAAAAGGAAGGGTGGTGGAGACGCAAGGCTTCTGAAGAAGGGGAATTTAAAAAGAGAAGGGGAAAAAGGGTATTTGAGGCTCAAAGCAAACTTTCTATACCTTGCAGTATGTTGAGTGTTTTGGCTTACTCTAATATCATACTGTATTACCCTAGCTTTGCCTAATATTTTACAGCCCATTTTTCTGAATGAGGTACTAGTCAAATTACCTACAGACCCTTCTGGAGATGAGCCCATCTTCCATATCTCCCACATTGATAGAGTCTACACACTTCGTGCAGAAAGCATAAATGAAAGGTAAGTCACGGCAGCCCCTTTGGCATTCAGTGTAAAGAGTCTGAGGTTCATGCTAAATCGCATACATACTCAAGAGTCTCCCTGAAGGGAAGAGAACATAAAGAAACCCTAGCATATGGAATTGAGGATTTCTATGCTGTTAAAAATATCTGTGGCAGAAGTTCATACCATGCTAGAATCACATTCCCTTTGGTACTTTCTCCATTTGTAAAATACAGAGGAAATAAACATAGTGGCTCAGATCCTCAGCTGTGAAAATCAGCATGCCTTGATTAACCTTAAGAGTGCAGCTGCTCATGAGAATGGAGGATCTGTCCCTGTATTGAACATGCAGATCCATTACAGCAGTTGTGTGCGCAGTTCTGCAGGGGTTAGTGCAGCAATTTATAGCTTCAGCACCCTGAATACATTTTCCAGCATGTTTGCTTGCTGCCCCAGCCAAAATAATTGTCATTTGTATAGATAGCACATGGCAGCATTTCTAGATTGAAAATTTAGAAATACTAAGATGTGACAGGCTCCTTGTTTGTGTCAGTGGCAAAGGAAGTAAGAGCTGAGTAACTGATGGCTGAGCTGAACATTTGATCCTACCATTTCCCCCCTCTCCCCTACTCCCCTGCCACCTCTTCCTCTGTCTCCCCCCACAGTGCAGCCTTTACTCCCCTGCCTGTCCCTTTCCCTCCCCCACTTACCATTGCTTCGCATTGGCAGGCTCCATTAATGCTGAAGCATAGGAGGGAAGGTGAAGAGGGAGCAGAAGCTGGAGGGGAGGGGAGGAGGAGCAGAGGTGGAAATGGAAGGGAGGCCTGAGGCTGCGAGGGGGCAGGTACAAACAGGGGATAAGCTGCTTGACCTCTCATGGTGTGGGATATAAATTAAAGATGACCCTCCAATAATTAGATCCTATACATGGGAAACGATAATAAATTTATAAATTTTCCATGTATAGAATTTAATGGGGGGGGGTCATCTTAAATTCAGGGTCATCTTAGATTGGAATAAATATGTTATTTCATTTTTGAAAAGCTGTATATTTACAACTGTGTTGAAATCCCAGTGGGTGCTTGTGTGGCTACTGCTATGTTATATTACTGCGATACTGTGAGCATGGTGTTCTCAATTTGCTGTTATGTTATGGATGCTTATTTGGTGTTTGTCAGACTCGCACTTTCTTGTTCAGTTTTATGCAAACTAGAAGTAGCTACCCAGGGCCAAACCCAGAGTGTGGTGTACAGAGGTGAAACTCACCAATAGAATTGAACCTATTTACAGCAGGACTTAAAACCAAGTCATAGGCTGTATTCTAGGTTCCCAAAATTTTTCCTTGCCCTTGTATCTCAGGCTTCCTGATGTATCGTGTGTGTCCTTCTGGACATTGCTAACACCTGGTTTGATGTGTTTGCCCCTCTCCTATTCTTTTCTCTCTGCATTTTTCCCAGCTGCCTACTGTGTATGAAAGGTTTCCCCACCCTGGTTTCCAAACTCAGCATCATCTCATTCACATCTCTTCTAAAACCTCAGTGAAGCTCTGCTGAAGTCAGGAGAGCAGTGGTGGTTTACATCAGCTGAACCTAAGAAGTTTATTACAATAATGCAAGGAGAATGGAAAAGAAAAGTTTCTTTTCCCCACCTTTTGATTTCTTAGCACATCCTTTCTTGTCCATGATTCTACCTTGTAAGACCTTTTAGGATCCACCAGCTATAAACCTTAACACCTCTGCAGAGTGATCAATAGTGGAGGACTTGAGAGCCGATCCCAGGCCCAGAACTTTAGTTGAGAGCAGGTAGCATTCTTAATTTTGAATGCTGAGTTGCTCTGAGGAGAAATAAAATAGTAACAGTAATGTTGTGCACAACTTTTCATGCTTTCCTTTTGAAGGACTGCCTGGGTTCAGAAAATTAAAGCTGCTTCAGAACTCTACATAGAGACTGAGAAGAAGAAGAGGGAAAAGGCCTACTTGGGTACAGTATGGAATACAGTGCTTACCATCTATCATGGCAATGTCACAAGACAAGGACATACTCATTCATTTTCCACTTTCTCCCTCCTCTACTCCCCCACTACAGTTCGTTCCCAAAGGGCAACAGGCATTGGAAGGTTGATGGTGAACATTGTAGAAGGTATTGAACTGAAACCCTGCAGGTCACATGGTGAGGCTCTTAATTTTTTTTGCTCTGTCATGTGCATTCTAAAGAAGGAAGCTCTCCATAGACCTTGTCACCTGCATATTTTAAAGGACATGAAAGCGGTTTTAATTAACTTTATATTCACACCAGTTGTTTCTTGCAGTTGTGGGAAACTTGCACAAGTGTCATGTTTTTAAGTTTTTGTTACAAATGTCCTTTAATTTGAGTGAGGCCACTGGCACACATTACACTTAAGACGTGATTAACCAGTTGGTATATGGCTACACACTAATGCAATGAATAGTGTGATAAAACAAGGAATAAGCCACAAAGTTATTACACAAAACATGTGTAATAACTTTGTGTCTGGTTCCTATCACGCCATTCATTGAATTCATGGCTAGATTGGGGCTGCCGGCTGCAGTGTGTACTCCCTTGACTGGCAGCCCTATCAGCCAGTAGGACTTCCAGCCGCAGGAGCTTTTCAGCTTGCGGTGCATGGGGAACCCAGGATCATGATCCCAAGCTCTCCTTGCACCAGCAACAAGGCACGATGGGATCTGATGCTGGATTCCACGATCACACCTCATGCCTGTCTCTAGTGGGTTATGGAATAGAGAAAATCCCACACAACTTACTGATTCGTTTGATGTGCCTGGCTGGGGGAGTATTTAGTTGATTGCACGATTTCACAATGATTGCACACTTAATTCATACAACACAATTTTATTTTAAAGTTCTTTGCTACACATATAACACTGCTTAGCTTTAAGAAATACCACAAGCATTAAGAGCACAATAACTACATATATCAGAAACAATGATCCAAATGCACTTCCTTAAAACAATTACAATTACAACTAAAAGTTAAATTTGAATCAATACTATTATTTTCATAATATACTTACAATCCTAGAATTCCGAGAAGCCAAATACCAAAATATGGTTTCATTCCTCAGTAGTATAATTTAATGGGTTGGCCTCAGTAGTACGGTTCAACGGGCTCGCCTCAGTAGTACGGTTCAATAGGCTGGCCTCAGCAGTGATAGGACTAAGTCCCCTTCCTTCAGTCCCTTTCGGGCGCTCTGCAGCTTCAACGTGAACTAAGAAATTCGTGTTCACGGAGAGGTTGGATCAGGTGATCAGTGGGCTCGGATCTTACTCAACAGATTCTTTTGCTTGGTAATCAGTTTCTTTTGTTGATCATTTAATTACTTTGGGTAATTTCCTTTCTTTCCAATCTTTTCAAAGGCTCCTAGGGTTTGATTTCTCGGAATGTGGGATGTTTGCTTAAGGGTCGTTTTTAGGTTAACTTTGTTAAAGGCCTCTAGAGATAAAATTCAAGAGTTAAGACTTTCAACAAAGTCAGGACCTTCCGCACATAGACCAAAACAATGGTCTAGATAAGAAGATGAATCTTGTCTTCTTCCTAAACTGGCTAATGGGCAACTATTACAAACATTCAAATGTATATGACAATGCCATGCACGTGTGGCATGGCAGGCGGTGTGATTGTGGGGATCCATCATCAGATCCCATCATACTGGTGAACAAGCTAAGAGGCTGTGACTTGGATGACTACACAGTCCGGTGGGTGGCGAATTGGCTGGAGGGTCGCACCCAGAGAGTTGTGGTGGA